TACACAATTGATGTATGTATGGATTGTGATAAGAGTTGTATGAGCCCCTAAAAAATTATTTTTTAAAAAACCAGTAAAAGAAAACAAAACAACAACAAAACCAATGACCTTTGTTTTTTTTTGACCTTTAGGAGTGTTTTCCGGTCAAGTCTGATGGGGTGCCACGCCCTGGCCCCAAAGTCTATTTTTGGTATTCCCTGGGGACTCTGCTGCTCAGGACTCCTGCTGCGAATGTAGTGGTAGTGTTATTAGGTGCCAGGGTCAGTTCTGACCCGTATTAGTCCTACACACAACGGAACTAACTAAGCATTGTCCAGTCCTGTGTCATCCTCACCATTGTTCGTACGCTTGAAGCCATTACTGCAGCCACCAAATCAGTCCGTCTCCTTGAAACCTTTCCAATGTATTTCCTTTGCTTTTCTTCTACTTTACCCAGCATAATGTCCTTCTCCACAGACTGACTGGTCTCTTCCTACAATGTGTCCAAACTATGTAGGATGACGCCTTACTGTCCTTGCCTCGAAGGAACACTCTGGTTATACTTATTCCAAGACAGATGGCCTAGTCCTTTTGGCACTCCATACTTTCAATATTGTTTGCCAGCCCCACAATTCAAACGCATCAATTCTTCTTCAGTCTTTGTATGCAATGTCCACCTTTCACATGCATATGCGACAATTTAAAATACTCTAGCTTGGGTAGGGCCGCTTTACTCCTCAAAGTAACACCCTTGCTCTCCAACACTCCAAAGAGCTCTTGTGCAGCAGATTTTTTCCAGTGTGCTGTTTGATCTGTTGCCTGCTATTTCCATGAGCATTGCTTATGGGTGCAAGCAAGATGAAATCTTTGGGCAACTTAAACTTTTTCTCCATTTATCATGATGCTACTTATTGGTCCAGTTATGTGGATTTTTGTCTTCTTTACATTGAGTCCTAATCCGTGTAGGCTGCAATCCTTGATCTTCATCAGGAAGTGCTTCACTTCCTCTTCACTCTCATCAAGCAAGATGTGCCATCTGCATATCACAGGTTAATAAAACTTCCTCCAATACTAATACCACATTCTTTTTCATATAGTCCAGCTTCTTTGATGTTTTGCTCAGCATACAGTTTGAATATATATGGTCACAGGATACAACCTTGTCACACATCTTTCCTGAATTTTAAAGCACAATTTCCTTGTTCCATTTACCCAACTGTATCCTGATTCATCTACAAGCTCTGATTGAGCACACAGAAATGCTCTGAAATCCCCATTCTTCTCAACGTTATTCGTAGTTTGTTATGATCCACACAGTCTAATGCTTGGCATAGTCAATAAAACATAAGTAAGCATCTTTCTGTTGTTCTCTGCTTTGAGCCAAGATTCATCTGACATCAGCAATGATATCCCTTGTCCCATGTCCTCTTC